TGGAGTTTGACCCACTTTTTAATACCAAAAAAAAAACAAAAAAAACCCACTCTTTATCCTAGGTCATAACTTTTGAACAGTTGGTGCTAGGGCTTTCATACTTCACATGTATATTTATTGTGACAAGATCTTCCAGCTGGTGTAAATATTTTAGACCTTTTCACCTTGACTTAAGAGTTTGATCCACTTTTTAAAACCTTTAACCTTGGGCATAACTTTTTGAACATTTAGAACTAGGGCTTTCATATTTCACAGTTGCATTCCTTGTAACAAGACCTTTCTTTAGGTACCAACACTTTTGACCTTTCGACCTTGACCTTTGAAATGCATTTGAGAGAATCCAAGCCTCGAAAGCTGCTATATGGGGGCATCAGTGTTTCACAAACACATCTTCTTTTCCAACTTAATTTGACTACGAAATGCTCAATCTACCTGATCTGTACCAAGGGCTCACGGCCGATGTGACTGATCTACAGAGGATACTTTCTCCTCGTTAGGACCTGATTTCTCCTCAGGTCCATATTCTATGCCTTTCAACAGATTTATATTTTGAAGATTTTTTGACAACGATTGTTAATTGTTCGTTTTTCCATCTTTTCATAACCCTTACTCCTTTTCAAATACTCACCAGTATAGAGAATACCTCGTGGTATGGTGAATTTTGGTAATCATCAACAAGGTTGTCTGAACTTTTACATATATGTACATCTAGTGTTCCCAGAAAATTTTGAGTATACTTTCTCTTCTTCAGTTTCAAAATAATTCAAAAATAAAATATAGCATAGTTTGAAATCATTTTTATTAACAGGCAAATATTGCTACTTTCTTATTTTATATGCAGATTTCAAGAATATCTTGATATTTTCTTTGTAAACTTCCGGTCAATTGCCGATGTTAAAAATGTTTCCTCTTGAAAGAAGAAAGCTTATTGTCGATATTTACATGTATTATCAAAGTGTTGCAAAATAAAATTAGCAATTCATTTAAAATTCTTCAGTATTCTCCTGTCTACTACTGATTTCCGCTGGACAAAATATTGAAAAATGGAAACGGATTCAGCAGAGGGTAAAGGCTGGTTGGGCTGGGAACCTGTGAGGAGAGTAGCGTATCAGAAACCCTTGGCTAGCGAAGACGGACTGGGAATGAAATCTAAAAGTTTTCTACGAACACTTAGTGTTTCCTGACCAAATGACACTGATCAAAGATTTGACAATTCCTTACTAATTCGTGGCTTAAGTAATTTTGAACATCAGACAATTTAGGAAGTATATGGGAAGCTATCCATGAAAGCTGCATATACATGATTAGAAAGTAGGGGGTATTCTTTAAATAAAATAATAATGTTTAATTGTTTTGTATAATCTTAATCCAACTTTTTAGATAAATGTATCATTAAAAGAAAATCAATAATTTCTGGGAACTATATTATATTGTCTCCAATCCATAATCGATGTTATAGAAAGCATAAGTACATTCAGTAAGGAAAATGGAAAATAAACAGAGCTGCTGAGAAAAATTCATCCTGAGAAGATATGATTAATAAACTTCATAGTAATAATAGTGTTTTGAGGTTCTGCAGCTGAAAAAAACTTATCATTCGCAAATCATACAGGAATCGGTAAATATATGGAAATCAAACAGGGTACCGTACCCTTTTGGCAGCCGCCCATCCGCCATTTTAAAAACCGGATTTTTACTTCGGGAAACCCGGTTTAAAACTCTGAATTTACCTGAAAAATGTAAAAAAAATTTTGGGAAGATATGACATTAACATTTGACCTAAAATCAGGAGGCCTCTCTTTAAAAGGTCAGAGGGAGTTGTGATTTCAAATTTAACTGAAGAAAGCTCTGTAAAAACTTACTGTCTTGAAATTATTCTTAATCTTTCAGAAAAAAAAGTCCAAGAAAATTTTGTCATAATTGAGATTTGATAGCTCAATCTCCACGTTTGTCGCACAATCATGCCCAATACGATTTTTTCGCCTTTTTTCATCCATCTTCCTTTCATTTCTTTCTTCTGATTTAATTACAGACAGACAAGAAGACATAAATTTTACTTAGCTAGCCTACTAGTAAGAGTTTATCGTGTGTCTGGCGGTGCTATCAAAGGGAACAACTTTACATCTCTCTTTATTTTTATTTCATGAAAGTTTGACACATTTTATGCTATGGTAATTGAAGCAATGGTAACCAGTAAATGATTATCTGCATAAAATACGTGTACAAAAAAATTCTATACAATGTATACAATACTGAATCAATGCTCTAAAAGTATTACAATCTTCTGTTTAGTTAAGACTAAAAAATATGAAATAATAAAAATTAACATTAAAAGAGTATGGCACTATAAATGTCAATTTTAATCTCTAAAAATATATTTACATGTATACACATGTATATAATGAATTATATACACTCAAAAAGTAGTTAAAAGTTGATGTCACACAGTAAATATTGAAAAAGAAAATGCACAGTTTCCAAAATATTTCTGGATTTTAAAGGCACTTTATATCCAAAACAATTCACAGCTTCATCTTTTCATATATTTTAATAACAATTTTTTTTTTAATTCTAAAAAGCAAAAATTCTCATGCATAGAAACGGAATACATGCATATTGTATTTTTTGTGAAGTCATATGTGTGCGTGCATTATTTAGTTTCTGAGCCTTATGTATATTCTGATATTTCAATTATCGGTAATACTTTATACTGGTACATGAACATGTAATTATAAAACATTCTCTACAAAAAAAACAGTTTGAGAAAGTTTTGTTTTTGCATTAAACTGTATGAAATTTTCAAATGACAAACAATGTTCATGTTTATGAATTACCAATGACTATATTTGCTTTTATAATTTATGGCACATTCTCATGGTGTATTGATTTGATTATTGTTCTATTTTATGGCACAAAGTCAGATAACTACAGTGGAGCCTTGTTAATCCAGATACAAATAAGCTGGACTTTTCACCTTATGGACAAAATCTGTAGGGAACACCAATAACATTTTTATCAATACATGTATTTATTTACCGGTACCTGGGTGATTTGATTTGAAACGAGTATCTGAATAAATGAAGCTTCACTGTAACCCTCTTAATTATCATATATTTATGAAAACTTGTCTTTTTACTGTTGTTTTTATGTGGCTATAACCTACTTAGGAGCCTATGATAATTTAAATTTACATAAAACCATAGTTATTTTGTTCTCTCGGGTCAGTTTTCCTTCTCATTATAACATCACATTTACATTTCTATTTTATAGCTGTTATAAGGCATTCTTGTATAAATTTTGATATATATAGTTATACATTATTTACACTGTCTATAGTTTGGAACTTTTGTTATTGCTTTCCCCCTGTATGGCCTTTTATCCCTGTTTCTAATTTTAGATCTAAATTGATTTAATATTAGCCACAGCTACTGATGATAATTAAAATAAGGAGACCCAAAAATTTCAAATGTGACTTGTGATACAATATTGAGATCCTTATAATAATACAGGAAAAAACTCTTAATTTTTCAAGTATGCTTACATGTATTTATTTGAAAAGTATTAATTTTCATTCAATATATGCAAGGCATTGGAATGAAGGATTTACTAATCAGAGTTACAAGTTTAGTAATGGAATATGTGCAATGGTAGAATAAATATGGGACTTATTCATTAGTATTTTAAATAGAATACATGTATTTGTGAAGTATTTGGAGTATGTTTTTGATATTCAATATGGAGTGTACTGACTGTATTAGATGTATAACACATGTATAATCATGAGTTTTGATTTGGTCTTTTTATGCGTTTAAGATAATGATAAAATTACATGCATGCATTGATGAATGTAAACATCAATACCAAGAAAGACAATGTCATGCTTGCATGAGTAAAAAAATCAGTTTTCAACATTGGAACAACAAACATTAATTATACCAAAAAATAATGAAAATGGTAATAACCAAATTAAAATCTAAAAAATCAAAACGAAAATTACACTCTTAACACTTAAAACAAAACTTCAAATGATCCTGAATTATGTTTTGCATTCAACTAAAATCTAGGATACTTCAAAAAATATAGAAATATATAATGCAACCGTTCTTGGACTTAATTGCTAGTTGGTAAAATTGATGTTCAAAATATTCCATTATTCTGGAACTTAAATATATCAAACAAGAATTCTGGTTTAACCAAAATTGTTCACAGTAATTGGACTGTTTAAAAAAAACTTTTAGTATATTTTATATACTGTAGATCACTAAATTTTCGCGACTTCTTATTTTCGCGAGATAGTCATTGACTCTTTATTAGCGAGACATAATTTTCACGAATTAATGTTTTTCCTCTATATAATCGTAAGGAATACTTTTAAACGCGAGAATGAAATTTTCGCGAGCTCATTGTCTCGCGTAATTACGCGAAAATTAAGTTCTCGCGAATAAAACGTGATTTACAGTACTACTTTTCGAAATTGCTAAAATGATATTTTAAAAAAATATTTTGTACATTTTATGTACCACTTTTCAAAAGCATAAAAGGTAAAATGACCATTGTATTGGATGTCAAAGATAGATAATTGCACAACAATGAAAGGTATCATATGATAATTTGATTAATGTGAACGCATGCATACGGTAAATGTACATGTATCACAACTGTTGTCCATAACACACATTTAGGACTTTTTGTTTTTATGACAAACTGATGACTGTGTTTTTATGCAAACTTCAAACTTATGTTTAATCTCCATGGGACACCATATACAAATAAAATTGCTGGATAAGTTACTTTTTTATAAATATAATACATGTATTTATAGCTAATACTTCTGTGTTGGCCAATTTGCTCAAAAGTGTGACATAAAAATCTTTTTAATTAAAAGGGCACTGATTGCACAACCTGTTCCACTCTAAGAATACAAAATTAATCTGGGTTTTTAAACCAAAAGTATAAATTTTGACAAAATGCAGTAAAACATATTTTACAGCAAACCCATTTACATGCTTACATAAAAATAAAAGAGTACCAGCCTTCAACTAAATACAAAGTGCAACAAGAATAAAGAGTATAACAAATATATAGAAATAGTGTAGCAGTTTGCTGTCCATTGGCTGGAAGATTGTTGTGCCAGTACACCTTGTATTTGAATACGAATGAATGTAATGACAATTTCATGGAAAAGATATAGATCACTGGGATAATATAAATGGAAGTATTCTATACATAGGATTATGTTTTGGTAAGAATTCAAAATAGACAACTTAGCTAATCAACAAGCTAAATTCCAAAAATTTGATTGTCAGGAAATGACTTATATTAAATTTTTACTTCAGAAGGTTCTCTTTCTTTTCTTTCTTTCTTTTTATTTTTTGGTCATTTTGCAGCATCAGGGCTTTCAAAAATTTGGAGGTGAATTTATCTATTGAAGAAGCTGTTTTATAATTGTTTATGATGGTTTTCTTTACCAATTATGAAATTTTAAGAATGAATTTCAATCTCTGAAACATTGATAAATCACCCCTTGCTGCCCTTTGTTGAAAGCCCTGCATCATTATGAACAGAATACTATAGTGCTTTCTCCCTGTCGTCCATAGATGAGCTCCATCCTCTTGCGCTGGTGGCCATTGTTGGTGAGGGTGTCTTTAACGAGTTCTAGCAACTTGTCAGCCTTGTGTCCGATCTCTGACTTATCTCCACACCGGTCCTGGATGTAATTGCAGAGGGACATTTGCATCAGGAATGTCTCGTCACAGATATTGGCTGAATTCTCCTCGGGACATGCGTAGACCTGAAGGATCTCGCGTAAATTGGTTGTTTTGGTGCCATTGATATCAACGATTATTTCGCGCCAGGTAGACATCCTCAGAATCAGAAGGGCAAACACTCGTATGTCGCTGAAGCAGATTTCCTCGTAAAGTTTGACCATTGTGTATTCATTCATTTTAACAATCATCATGGCTTGTAAACACATTTTAAAAAACAATCGTTTTAGAACTTTTTGTAATCGATTAATTATTTTCATCTTTCTGTCACTATCTCGAAAAAATTTTCCAATCTTTGGGTAGCGCTGCTTGTCGATTTCAAATGGACTTTTAACCATGATTCTCATGATACAGAGGCATCCTGGGTCTGTGATCTTGACTTCTTGTTCCGTAATCCCTTTCTCAGTATTATGAGTGCGTGAGATAAGGATACAGCCCTCCTCTTTTTGTTTTGTGACCGGGTCAGTCAAAGTCAATTGAATGTACATTTTTGAAAAAATTGGCAACTTAATTCTTGGTCATTCCATGCATATATTATCTACAATGAAACAGAGTCTACAATAAAAACAAGTGGAACCGGAAAGAGAAAATCTCTGGCCAGACCGGGTATCAAACCCGGGACTCCTGCATCACGTCAGGTGCTCTACTGACTGAGCTACCCAGGCCGATATCCAAGACCCAAACAATTTACAAGTTTTTGATAGACTAGAGAATTGAACACTTCGTAGAAATGCTGACTTATAGTGAGTGCTCTAAGCTTTTAATGCAAGGACAAGCGAAAAATTGGTCAATCAGACAATAGTTCACTCATTCATAGGATTTTTTCAGCTAATGAAAGGCAAAAACTGAGGAACAAGTCGACGTCGTCATACCTTTTAAAATCGAAAAATTAATATAAATGGAGTGAAAAGTTGGTCAGTTTGATCACATGCAAAACAATTTTATATATCAGTGCTGCTACAAAAATAAAACGAACCTCCTTTTACATTCCGTCTTGTTTTACTAGTAGCTGCTTCCATGAATGTAGGGAAAAAGTCGATGCGTAATTTGAGTCGATAAGAGGTATATGTATTAGATCAGAAACTGACTTATTCACATGTTATATTTCACGAAAAAGATTAAAACAAATAAAATATTCTTACTTTGGCGTTAATTTATCTTGAGAACGCCCCAGGTGCGTGGATTTACTGGAAAAAGCGACAAATAGCCGACATTCCTACTTTCGGTTTCGTTGATAGGAATTGGGTAAAACTAGCTATTACACGATTGCGGTCATAATCAAAAAGTTATGAAAGTTCTACAGCAACATTTTATTTTATTTCATTGTTTTTTTTATATATTGTTTATATTTTATTTTTTTCTAATTTTCGATTCATTTTTATCATATTTTCTGATTCTGAAGAATTTAAAATTAAATCAATTTTTTATTCTTTTTCACCAAAAATCAGAGCAGTTTCTTCCGATCCACTGAAATATTAAAACATTTAAATATATTTGCAATTTACAAAACCCTTTAAACTGAAAGGTGTTCATTAATAATGTGAAATGATACATGTTATCGTAACTGTACTGTTGAGATCAGCAATCTAGTAGATTTATATTTACAAATACATTAAACCTTTGTCTTAGTTTTGACAATTAAGGTATTTCAATATGGATCAAAATTTTCCTGTCTGAATGTACAGCTTGTAAATTAAATTTGTCCAGCTGTGTTAAGTTGACTTACCCATCTAGCCGTTTGACTTGAACGTTTAAACTACAAATAATTCATATATTTAATAAGATTTTCAAGTTGCAGATTATACACCAGATACATCAATTTTCAAATTTCGTATAAAAACAAAAGCTTTAAAACAATTGAATCATATAAGCAAAAATACAGTCAATGATAGAGTATATTTGCAAACAGAGTCACTCTTACGACCAATGAATTTAAGAAATGCTGTCGTTAAACGGGTTTTTTTTAAACCCTGTAACATCAACTTATCTGTCAGTAGTCTTCCTTTGTTTAAAAACTGATTGTCCTGAGAACTATCTTGGAAAAGATGTTCAGATAACAGGTAGTCCAGTGAAGACCAAGCAGACCAGTGCTTTCTTCTTTTCCGTATACATTGAAAAAAAAAATAATAAATTCTGCTTTATACGAATATAAAAACAGGTCAGTTAATACACAAGCGTTTATCTACTAAGATGAAATCGACCGCTTAGAGCGTGCACGTATTGAAGACAATTTAAATCATCAATCGATCTAAGATCCTCTTACTAAGATAAAGTCGTTTTGTCCCTTATTGGTGATCTTAACTTATGTGAACATCTTTCTTCAAAAATCTTCTAAAGAAACTGCAGTATAATTCTGACAAATGTGAGCAATGCTGTCCATGGTCTCCTGTTAGTTTAATTTGAATGTAGCAAACTGATAGTCATGTCATCACAGGCACCTGAAGTATGGATAGTATCCCCCCTTTTTTGTTAATGAAAAAAAAATGTAAGAGTGTATAATTTCTCAAAAATATAAAATTTCCCCGTCAAACACGTTTATATGTCATTATATGCAAGCAGATTGTACTTTTTCTCACGTTTAAAGAATGACCCTATTCGGTATATAATAAAAATACAAGGGGGGGGGGGTATTATCCATACTTCAGGTGCCTGTGATGTCATTTGTGCTTTCCATGGCGTAAAAATGTCCATTTCCCACATCGCTCATTTGAGGACGCTGCCTTCTTTGAACAACAGAAATCAGTTCAACATTCATAAGTGATCCCCGGCAACATACACACACAGCACAGATTTTTGTGCAAGATTTGAACAAGCTTGATTCGACGCTAACTGAAGTTGCTTCAACATACCGGGTATTTGTATGAACAAATGTATAATCATAACGTTTAATGATTTTTAGGATTTTCCCCATGTATTTCTCTGGCAGGGAGGGGTGTGTGTCATGTTTTGAACAAAACTACAGTACCTAGCCCTGGATGCTTAAAGCTTCTACTATAATATCCTGACTTTTGCTTCACTGTAAAAAAATAACTAGTTAAAGTCACGAAGAAAACTAGTAAATTTACTGTCCATACAATCACTACCTTAAAAGTAGTTTTACCAGATATTGGTATATTTACTAGATAAGATTAGTAAATTTAGAATTGATATAAGTAACTTTCACTAGGTACCTAAGTATCTATACGAACCCCGCTCCACAACTCACTATCTTAACCAGTAAACTGAAAGTTTACTAATCACGACCAACGGTTTACGAGGCACACTAGTTAAATTCACTAGGTTTTTCTTTCAGTGTTGCCATGAGATCATGAGAAGATATTTCGAATTCCTTTCGTTACCGGTATATAATTCCTATGCATAACTTTGATCCTCAGAATCTGCTGTGGCCCACCATACCCCGGGGATCATGATTTGAACAATCTTGAATCTATACTACCTCACGATGCTTATAATAAGCGTCAGTATTGAAGCAAGATGAAAGAGGGCTAAATCAACAAAAAAAAGTTTATGGGCTAAGCCCAAGCCTCATTACGTAAATTGTGGTTTGCTCGCAGGCACCTGAAGAATGACCCTATTCGGTATATAATAAAAATACACGTGTATTTTTATTATATACCGAATAGGGTCATTCTTTAAACGTGAGAAAAAGTACAATCTGCTTGCATATAACGACATATAGATGTGTTTGACGGGGAAATTTTATATTTTTGAGAAATTATACACTCTTACATTTTTTCATTAACAAAAAAGGGGGGGGGGGATATTATCCATACTTCAGGTGCCTGTGGTTTGCTTTGCAAAAAATTAAGGGAAGGGTGCTAAGCACCCTAACCCTCCCTCTGTTTAGATGTTTCTTTCCTATACATATTTTTGTATACTGTGACTGTAATTTAGATGCCCTGTTGTGGCCCCCTGTCCTATATTTGAATCTACACTATAAAATAAAGCTTTCACATTTGATTTTTAGAAAATGCCAAAAAGTTTCCACGTGCACTAATTCATAATTATCTCCCATTGAAAGAGATTGTGGTTCATCGATGAAACTTATGAAGATAACGAACAGTATTCAAGATCAAAAGTCCATAAAATTATTAATACAAAATAGGAGCAGAGAAAACACGGACCTCAAAAACATCAGAGGTGTGATCAGGTGTCATGGGGGAGTGAGCATCCCCTACTGACCAGTAACACCCGCCGTGCGTTCCTTGTCATAAGCGGGAGATAACGGAAAAGTCCGTCGTCAATTCAGTGTATGAATAATGGCCCGACTAACAATTATAATATGAAAAACGTCAGTCAGCATTTGACTCCATGATAAATTGTATTTGCTGACAATGTCATTGATGACCATCGACCATAGAACTTCCGAAATAATGACTTTAAACGAGACTGCTCAAATTCTTGTTTCATCAACTTGTTTGTCAATAATTTACCTCGTTTTAGAAATTGTTCGTACGTACAGCATGTTCTTGCGTATCGAATCAACTGAATCAACTCCGCTTATGCAGGTGATGAAGGTATATTGCTGCATAAGTAAGGAAAGTTGACAATTGTAAAGTTAAATCCATCACGTTTATCATAGAGCTTGGTTGTTCGATTGCTATAAAGCCGGATAGGCTCATTTCTGAGAAGATAATTTTTTTTTTATCTCGTTATAACGAGTTAGTATTTCGTAATAACGAGTTAGTTATATCGTAATAACGAGTTAGTTGTCTCGTTATAACGAGTTAGTATCTCGTTATAACGAGATAATTATTTCGTTATAACGAGTTAATTATCTCGTTATAACGAGTTAGTTATCTCGTTATAACGAATTAGTTATCTCGTTATAACGAGTTAATTATTTCGTTATAACGAGTTAATTATGTCATTATAACGAGTTAGTTTTCTCGTTATAACGAGATAAAAACTGGTCTAAAGTTGACATATCTAAGTGATAGGAAGTACGTACAGCATATAAAACGAGTCGATCAAGTTTGTTTAAAGTGTGTATGGCAAAGATTTATTGAAAAACTCCAAACTTTATTTTGTCTTTCGAGGGATTGTGCCTGTGAATGTAGTTTGTTTATGTATAAAAGATGCAGTTGATTTGTATTGTTTATTTAAAAGACCGAAGACAAATATATACATGTATACGGAAACTGATGACTGCCTCGTGATGTTATGTTATGTATGGGCAGTAGCCGCCGAATTTTACGCCCATGACCTAACTGCTGATGTCTCCATATCCCCCTTCTTCAAAACATTTCTGACTCTCAAAATAATATATATCACACTGTGAGTGTATATAATATATGTTGCATTAAAGCCAGCGATAGCTTGCTATTATAATGTATTAATCTAGGTACTAAAACATTGATTATGAAAGCTAATAAGACATCCAAAACATGTTAAAAAAAAAAAAAAAAAAAAAAAAAAAGGTGTGTTTTTATCGGAGAAAGTTGTCATACATAAATTGCCAAACTTTGAAGCAAAAAGTACATTTGGCAACATTTTTTTTTTGATAATGTGTCCTTGGAGACGTTCACATATAAATGTGTAAATGTGTTCGAATAAAGATTGCTATACTTATCAAATTATGATTATTGACAGAAAGATAGTTAAGGATTAAGCGAATTAAATTGGCAACATTTTTTCAATTTTGAAGTTCAGAACGACTAATAATTATCAAGTAAACTTCAATGGCATTAAAACTACAGCCATTTTAAATTCCTATACTGCTATTAAATTTGGAAATAAAGGGCAACTTATTAACTCGTTATTATACAAATATGGACTCAATGTAGGTCAATATGCATTTATAATGACCCAGGATGACAGATATTGACCGAAGATACATGTAGTATATCAACCGAGGGCGCTAGCCCGAGGTCGATATACTTCATGTATCTGAGGTCAATATCTGTCTTCCTGGGTCATTATAAATGCATATTGACCGTGCATTGAGTCCATATTTATTATATTATATAAATAATAATTTCCCAAAATTTTTAGCACAATGTATATCTTCCTTATGTTTACAGAGATAGTATTAACCATAAATAAGTTGAATGTAAATGTTTCAGAATTCATTGAATATCATTCAGAGGAAATTGTTTCGGTAATAAATTTTAACCCATAGCATAATAATAACGCAATATACCTATCTCCGAATAACACAGAATACCCCCTCCCCCAGATTGAGAATCGCACTCGTTTACACTTTCAGAGGAAATACACTCACAAAATATAAATACCTATGTCT